CCAAAAGTCTGCATGCTGGTTACAGCATATAACACTTAATAACATTCTATCTCCTCCCTAAATATTGAAGTCTTGCCAACATAAGTCTCCACAACTCACAGTATAAAATCTAGTGTGGTTATATATTTTAACTGTATTTTTCATACTGCAAAACAGTTTCCACTAGCTGCCGAAAGACACTAGGTCTTGACAACTTGCTGCCTAAAGACTCAAAGTCTTGACAACATAAGTTTCCACTACTCACAGTATAAAACTTAGTTAATTTTATATTTTAATTGTATTTTTCATACTGCAAAACAGTTTCCACTAGCTGCCGAAAGACACTAGGTCTTGACAACTTGCTGTCTAAAGACTCGAAGTCTTGACAACATAAGTTTCCACTACTCAATCACAGTATAAAACTTAGTTAATTAATTATACAGTATGTTCTAATTGTATTTTTCACACTGCAAAACAGTTTCCACTAGCTGCCGAAAGACACTAGGTCTTGACAACTTGCTGCCTAAAGACTCGAAGTCTTGACAACATAAGTTTCCACTACTCACAGTATAAAACTTAGTTAATTATATATTTTAATTGTATTTTTCAATTTCTTCTGTGGGATGTTTCTGGAATGATCCATAATCCATTGCATCTTAATGGGGGTTAATACAACATTTGACCTTGAAGCTCAGTTGGTAGAGCATTGGACTAGTACGGCAAAGGACAAAGGTAGCAGGTTCGATTCCCATTGTGGTCAGGCAAACTTTTCAGCTTGCCCGGGGTGGATACACACTCAGAGTACCGTAACACCATAAACTTTAAAATTTATATAGACTGATAAAAATATGCCACAAGCGAAGGCGTTTTTACAGCCTCCCAAGGCATTTGTTTTTGGCCATCTGATCTTGTCCAGGTGCCAGTATAGTGATATAAATATAAAGAAGCATTTTTACAACTTTACAAGTACACTGTTTTAGTCTGTCGATACCAAAAGTCTGCATGCCGGTTACAGCATATAACACTTAATAACATTCTATCTCCTTCCTAAATATTGAAGTCTTGCCAACATAAGTCTCCACAACTCACAGTATAAATTCTAGTGTGGTTATATATTTTAATTGTATTTTTCATACTGCAAAACAGTTTCCACTAGCTGCCGAAAGACACTAGGTCTTGACAACTTGCTGCCTAAAGACTCGAAGTCTTGACAACATAAGTTTCCACTACTCACAGTATAAAACTTAGTTAATTTTATATTTTAATTGTATTTTTCACACAGCAAAACAGTTTCCACTAGCTGCCGAAAGACACTAGGTCTTGACAACTTGCTGCCTAAAGACTCAAAGTTTTGACAACATAAGTTTCCACTACTCAATCACAGTATAAAACTTAGTTAATTAATTATACAGTATGTTCTAATTGTATTTTTCACACTGCAAAACAGTTTCCACTAGCTGCCGAAAGACACTAGGTCTTGACAACTTGCTGCCTAAAGACTCGAAGTCTTGACAACATAAGTTTCCACTACTCGATCACAGTATAAAACTTAGTTAATTAATTATACAGTATGTTTTAATTGTATTTTTCACACTGCAAAACAGTTTCCACTAGCTGCCGAAAGACACTAGGTCTTGACAATTTGCTGCCTAAAGACTCAAAGTCTTGACAACATAAGTTTCCACTACTCACAGTATAAAACTTAGTTAATTATATATTTTAATTGTATTTTTCATACTGCAAAACAGTTTCCACTAGCTGCCGAAAGGCACTAGGTCTTGACAACTTGCTGCCTAAAGACTCGAAGCCTTTACAACATAAGTTTCCACTACTCACAGAAAAAAATGTAGTTTATTAATTATATGTACAGTATGTTTTAATTGCATTTTTCATACTGCAAAACAGTTTCCACTAGCTGCCGAAAGACACTAGATCTTGACAACTTGCTGCCTAAAGACTCAAAGTCTTGACAGCATAAGTTTCCACTACTCACAGTATAAAACTTAGTTAATTTTATATTTTAATTGTATTTTTCATACTGCAAAACAGTTTCCACTAGCTGCCGAAAGGCATGCACTAGGTCTTGACAACTTGCTGCCTAAAGACTCGAAGCCTTTACAACATAAGTTTCCACTACTCACAGAAAAAAATGTAGTTTATTAATTATATGTACAGTATGTTTTAATTGCATTTTTCATACTGCAAAACAGTTTCCACTAGCTGCCGAAAGACACTAGATCTTGACAACTTGCTGCCTAAAGACTCAAAGTCTTGACAGCATAAGTTTCCACTACTCACAGTATAAAACTTAGTTAATTTTATATTTTAATTGTATTTTTCATACTGCAAAACAGTTTCCACTAGCTGCCGAAAGGCATGCACTAGGTCTTGACAACTTGCTGCCTAAAGACTCGAAGCCTTTACAACATAAGTTTCCACTACTCACAGAAAAAAATGTAGTTTATTAATTATATGTACAGTATGTTTTAATTGCATTTTTCATACTGCAAAACAGTTTCCACTAGCTGCCGAAAGACACTAGATCTTGACAACTTGCTGCCTAAAGACTTGAAGTCTTGACAACATAAGTTTCCACTATTCACAATACTCAAAATTTAGGGTTTATAATAATTTTTATAATGTTATTTTTTATTAATTTAATATAGGAAAGATTAAAGTCCTCACTGCAAGTTCCCCTCCAAGATTCTTACCACTTCTGGGATTGATGGTCTTGATGCTGGCTTGGTATCCTTACACTGCTTCCCCAAGGAATTCAGACATGCATGTGGCAATGCCTTTCCAACACTATATATGATAACCCCAAGTGAAAATACATCACTGGACATACTCACCGGACGTCCTCGCAAAACTTCCGAGGCAATGTGATTGTAAAACGAAGTGTACTTTCGAGCTGCTGGCCTGGCAATTAGACAAGCCTTACCAAAATCTATCAAGTAACCTTTCTTCCCTGAGACAAGAACATTATTTGACTTCACATCACAGTGTAAGAATCCTTTCTGGTGGACATGGAAAAGAGCTTCTGAGATGTCATGTAAAACGGAGATCCATTCGTTTGTTGATAGTAACAGATGTTTTGCCATGTCTTGGTGCAGGAGTTTATGAACTGTTACTGACTCCATACCCACACCAAGAAACTGCATGACCAAAGAGTAAGGTTTTCCATCAATTTGGACTCCTAATAAATGAGGGATTGCTGGATGAGTTAGTGTGTTCATGCACTGTGCTTCATTCATGACGGCTGTTAAATCTGAAGTTGGTACTTTTTTCTCAAGAATTGTTATCCCAAATCTTGTAAACTTTTTTAAAATACAATCCCCGTAGGTTCCTGAACCTACAGGAACAGCTGCAGAGTTATTTTCTTCCAGTGGTAACAATTCACTTGGGCTGATTTGTTTTACTGGGGAGTTCCCAATTACAGCAGTGTCCATTAAAATCTATAATAATAATAACAATAATATAACTTAATTTGTATATTAACCCGTTAAGCTGCAGAGCTTCCCCATTGATGAGTAAAACCATCTGGTTTTAGACAAGTAAATAGAAATAAGTAGGGCACACTCCATTCCTAAAGGTTCCTAACTGGGCACATCTAGCCGCAATGTGCCCAGTTAGGAACCTTTAGGAATGGAATTCTCAAATCTCTATCTTCATAATAGTCATACAGTACATTTAAAAAATAACTTACTAACTCTTTGTATCCTTGTAAACATGTATAGCATCGGGGAGGTATCATTTTGTTGAATTAGCCAATATATGCACCCTACTTTGTCATTTTACTCTGTCTAACACCAGATTATTTTACTTGTCCAGGGAAGGCCCTTTAATGCCCTAATGGGTTAAACTATATACAAGTTGGTAACCCATTGAATGATAATATTTATTCAGGAAACCAACATCACAAGATGAAGAAGTGTTTTTCAGATGGTTCCTGCAAAACATTAAATTAAAATACAAAGTATACAATAGTTTATAGAGTGTGCATGCAGTATTTACATATTGGTATATGGATATATATGATATACCAGAAAACTTATGAGACTATAGGATACTCCATGGAAGAAATTTGGGTCATCCAGGAAGTTAGGGTGGGGGGGGGGATCTTCACCTCATAATAATATGCACTAAAATTTCCTAAATGTACTAAAATGTAATAAGGGGAGGGGTTCAACTTTCCAATTTCTTCTGTGGGATGTTTTTGGAATGATCCATAATCCATTGCATCTTAATGGGTTAATACAACATTTTGAGGGGTATTTTGCTGGGGGGGGGGGAATTCCCCCAAAAATCCTAAATTCCCCACAAATCTGAAATAGCTAAATTTGGGGGGGGGGAGAATTTCCCCCCAAAATGGAATATGAATATCATTAATATTAATTAAACTGGTAAGTGATAAGGCATATAATCACATAGAGGTGCAGTTGGTGAACCCAGACATTTCTATCCCCTCATTTGGAAATAGGTGAGCACAGGAAAGGATGTCTAGGTTTGTGACTATAGGAAGGGGAACTCCCTCCAAATAAAAAAATCCCTGAATTTTTTTTTTTTTTGGGGGGGGGAGCTCCCACCCAAGTCCCAAAACCTAAATACCCCTACTTTCGAACAGCATGCAATCTATTGTTTTCATGTGTAGTTAGCAAAACCTTTATACAACATTGTAAATCTTGAAGGAATCTAAGCAATGTAGATAATTTATTTATAAATATATTTCATTTATAAGTACTGCATGTTGCTTATAAAATAATTATTTAATAGTACCATTTTAATAATTACACTAAAATCTAGAATTCTATATAGACTATATAAGGAACTTCTCCTATTCTTTGTCAGGGTATAACCGACATTATAGAAACTAGCAGGGAATTTCCTAGCCAGTATACCCTAAACATGTGCTGCACATTTAATAATATTTCTGTATTGTACTCAGTGTTGACTTGACAATAGCAGCAGGGCTTTGTCTTTGAAAATAGTTTACCTTTCTCGAGTGACTTTGTATCGGTATTTTACGTCGTAAATCTTTTGCTTCTCTGCATAATTTTCTCCACTTGTCATGATATTTTTCGGCCAGTGCTTTCTGCTCCATTAAGCCGTCATTTACTTTCCGCGCCAGAACTGCTTCAGAAGCCGTGCGTTTGTTTATAGCCCGTTGTTGTCGCCTTCGCTTCTTGCGACAGTTTCGCATTATTCTTTTCTTTTCCAAATCACTTATTTCAGAATCAGGTTTCCCCATAATTATTCTTTATTAAGCGACGCGAACAAGAAAATACAAACTGTGCATACACGTATATAATATAAAGACAAGCTGTTCAATTTTAGCCCTACGAGGTTGAATTTTAGCGCCAATTAACCAATTTTGCGCCAAATTCACGCAAATGTCTCGGTAAAAGACTGGTGACGAGAATAAACTTTCCGCTTTCGACAGTACTGATAATGTTTTATCTAAAGTTTACAATCATACAAAAGTGCTATAAAATTATTGCAAATAAACTTTTGAAAAACTGAGCAATACTAAATTTAAATATGGTTGAAAGTTGGTTGAACGTTTGTGCCAACTGGCAAGTCTTATAATTTGGAAACCTATTTTGGGTAGCCTGTGCTTGTGATTTAGAACTGTTCCTTAGCAACGAAATGCCTATAGTTTAAATGTTCGATGGAATGTTCGTTGGTCGTACATCTTTCTTGATCTTTGTTCAATTTTATACCAGTATATTGACTTCAATAAAAACGACATTTGTTTTTCTTATAATTACACTTGCAAACAATAACTTTGAAGAAAAAACAGTCCGTGGACAAAACGGTTAATAGTTTCAATATGTTTACAACTGTTGATGAAAACACAAATGATAAAGGATTCAAGGAGTCTGACTCGATTGCAGGACAAAGCAAACCTCGAGGCAAACCTAGACAGTGCAATTTTTTGTGCCAGCTAAATGTAAGTACATTATTTGTATAATACCATAAAAATCAAACGTTCTGCAAAGGGAAATATTATCGAAATTGTACGTTTATAATTCTTTGGTGGCCCTAAAAAGGGCCGTTTTTTTTATAAATTTGATTCATGAAGAATCTTTTTTTTTTTCTTCTTTCCACTGATCCACCAGGGCTTTGCAATACTTCAGCTTGTCGATCAACAATTTGGAAGTTGGATCTTTTAACATGTCCTTCGATGTCGGCAGTTTACCACGACTTCTGAAGTACTGCTGCTCGATTTCCTTGAGCTGCCGTTTGCTGTTGGCCTGTGCTCGGGACACAGAGGTTTCCATGACTTTGAAAACGTGCAGGTAAGCCTTTATTAAGTCATTGTTATTTGGTGAATCCTTCAATCTTTTCCTTGCCTTGTCAAACTGCAACACCTCCTCAGTTATTCCCAGAACAAAGCCCAGTGCACGCCCTTGCTTCGTTTGTGTTTGTTGTTGCCCTTCTGATTCTATATTAAAGTAATGGATGGAATGTAATTAGTAAAAATCTATTGTCATTGAGAATATAATTTAGTTCATTCCATCGGACATATTTTAATACAGATTCAGAAACTTACAATTCGTGATGAACCTATATGTAGTTTGTATAATTATTATGCAAATACATGTAAGTAGGCTAAAAGTTATCAATTGTTTTATTGTTGATTACATACCTTTCTCGGTTTGCTGATTGTTTGCTTCAGAGTTATTTATATCTTCTACATTTTCATCTTGGTTAGCTTCTTCCTGGAAATCATTGCCAAGGCAAGTATCATTAGTAACCTCCACTAACCTCACATTACATTCAACAACATCCTTTTCACCCATCAAACCAACCACATCGTCCATGCCAGCAACACCATCACAACCATCCACACTCCCTTCAGCAACAACCCCAACATTCACACTACTTTCGGACATACTGTCTTCGCCAATTTCCAAACTTTCAACACCACCTATACCAATAGCCGCTGCCACCCTGTCATTGCACTGATCAGTGCAATGACCTTCAAGTCCAACTCCCTCTAAATCACAGGGTTCGAATTAATTCTGAAAAAATGGTTCGTGAATTAATTTTTTTATTTTAAGGATATTTTAAGGAATTTTCTCTAATTGGAAGTTACAAAGTGGAAGCACTGCAATTTTCAAATATATAATATACATCGCAAACTCGCAAAGAAATAGAATTTTGGGTGGAATTATAATCGTTTTTAAGTACAATCTAACAACAATATCTTCAAAATATATAACCCTTCATCACATTTACAAAGAACTAAATTTATTATTGTATATTTTTATCAATTTGAGAGACTTTTGATTCGTGATTTTGATCAATTTCTATGAAATTGGGTTCGTGAAAAATGAAAATTGATTCGTGATTCACGAATCACGAACCGTTATTTCGAACCCTGAATCATTTGCTATCTCTGCTTCCTTTAACACCATATTGCCCTCAGCATTTTCAATTTGAAGCACTTTGATTGGCATTGGTATTTTTCTTTCCAAACACATTTGCCAACAGGTTTTCAAGTAATTCTCCTCTGCTTTGAAGTTGCTCGAGCGGAAATGGTGCAGGCCCGGTTGGTCCTTGAGGAACAGCATCAGGATTTCCCTTTGCATCAAAAAACTCAATATCACCATTTGTGCAAGTTCTCCACCAAATTCCATCGCCTGCTAATAAGAAATCACAAATTCTTTCAAGATGAGCTTGCCAAAATCTGGGATTCCTTGTTAGCATCTGTTTTGGAATAACAGTATTTTCAAAAGTTGGTAGAGAGGATGCAAGTTTGGTAACATGAGCTTCTTGTGTGTCAGAGATGGAAGGTTGTAGGGACTTAAGATCTTTCTCAGCCTGGAGTCGGATGAACACATTGCCAATGATATGGTGTGGATGGTAGGATGATGTTGTTCTTGTGATGCTGTTGATACTGTTGAAAACTCTTTCTTGCTCCTCGGTGTTTGTTGATATGCCACTGATCAATCTGTTCTGAATGGGTGCATGTGCTGTTATGTTGTGAAAGTAATTTCCATAAAACTTCCGGGTGGTCAGTTGCTTCAAGGAAAATCCAATAACAGACCTACACAGCATGCCATGGTACCAGGTAAGGTTATGAAGTCTCAGGACTGATCGTGGGGTTCTTTGTGCTTCTGAACTGTAGGCTATC